CCATATTTAGTGAATTAGAGTACCAAACTAAAAACCCTAAAAAAAAACACAAAATTACATTCAGTTTGTTACCAAATAACCCAATTCAACTGTAGAATTACAATTTTCTAGTTTCCTCCACCTTACATTGAATAACTCCTTACAATGGAAACCCTAACTTGCATAAAAAGGAGAAGCAATGAAAAACCTCACAATTTGTTCCAAATCATAGATCGTAAAGCACAGTCCGACACAAAGGGCAAGTGTTTTTGCGTTTAAACCACTCTAAGAGACATGAGAACAAGTCATGCGTGTGGAGACACCAGAGAGATCTTCGAGACAAATCGAACACGGTTCTGTTTCCACCTTCAAACTCTTCAGTTCCTCTTGACCTACCCTCCCTAGTAAAACCATCCTCAATAGCATAGCCCTCGCTTCAGATATAACCACGACACTCTCGTAAGTGATTTTGACAAGGATGGTCAAGATAAAACCGTTGCGACCAAAACCTAATCTGGTTGCAGCCGTTGAGATCTCTGAGGCTAAGCTTACACATAACCAACGGTACTGGCTCATGAGTTGATTGTGGAGAAGCTGTCGGATGTAGCGGTGACTCAAGCTACGGAGACTGACGTTGATGGTAAAACCCGATTGAACATGCCGGTTAAAGTTCGATGACCGTTGGTTTGGTTTTCAAGGATCTCAACAGATTTTGTGTCTACAATGATGATTACTGAGTTTTCGAATCCTTGCCATATGGAGAAAGTTTTGTCGCCTCGACGTAAAATATCACTTCGGGAATGTTCATGTTTGAAAACACTAATTAAGAGAGACAAATTGCAAAAAAAAAAACAAAAACGAAAGAGATTCACAGATGAATGTTAACGAGAGCAAAATTGAGAGAAATTGTGAAGCTTTAGGGTTACGTCTTGAGATATATAGAAGAGTGATGAATTTTGGCGCTTCAACGGTCATATTGTTGCCAAAAAGTTTTTCTTTTTCCTTTTCATTTTTGGGTCAACATTTATTGGAGGCATTTGTTAATTATTCCAGGTGGATATATCACTTTCACTTTTGTTAATTATTCCAGGTGGAGATATTTGTTAATTATTCCTGGGATTAAGCTGATAATCGTAGTTTGTGGAAAAAAACCCCAGTCGTCGCAGAAAAAGAGAGAGAAAAAAAGTAATTTTAGTTTTCTTCCTCTCTGATGTCCGGTGCTTTTACCGACTTCGTAAGAAAGAGAGGGTTGTAAATTAATAGAGTTTCTACGTTTGATATGAAGTATAAGAGATGTCCAAGAGAGTTTTTGGTTAGACGATACGATGTTATTCGCCATCTGGTTTTTATGAGTTATTGTGACTCCCTTCATTGGGTTTAGTTTGTGATTCTCTTCATTGGGTTAAGTTTTTCTGGGTGAAATTTTTAGTTGAGGTTTTTTTCCCTCGTACAAGATCAACAGCTTGACTCACATGTTAGTTTTTATTCAATTCTGGCTATCTATTTGATTTTAGTTTTGCTGTTCAAATTTGTTCAACAACGGCTTGACTGAAGCTAACTCAGAACAAAATTGACAAAGGCAATTAAAGAAGAAGATTTATTTAAATTAAGAGAATTGTTATCATGTTATCGTAATAGATATTGGAAGTCCGACTGCTATTGTGGATTCGGAAACACCTAATCGTCTACCTTCAATTCGAAACAAGATCATCTTGGTATCGCTAATGTGTCGTCAACGATTATTGTCTTCACTTAATTTTTGGTGGGGAAATGACCATTAGTTTCTCTTTGTATCGCATCTCTTGAACTTCTTCATTGATGTAATATGTTTTAAATCATTTTCAATAAAATAAAGTGTAAAAAAAAACTGATAATTATAGTTAAAGAACTTAG